GGTCCTTCTGGGCAATGCAGAGGAAGCCTCGTGAACGGGTTGTGTGGTTATAATGATGACAGTAAGTCAGAGGCCGGGAAGGGAGGTCTGGTCCGGGTCTGGCCTTCAGGTTCAGTGGAGGGAAGCCTTCTTTGCTTGGGTGAATCCCACAAGGGACGGGGATTTACCAAACATAGGAAGGGGCTTCATCTACTGGCAGATGGATCAACAAATGAGCGTTCATTGCTGGAGGGCGCTCCAGTTGTGTCCGTTTTAGAGACACTTGAGCCAGCTCGGAGAGAGGAAGTAACTTGCTCAAGGTTTCACCGTGTCACGTGGCTCTGCTGGACTCACACCTCGGTCTGTCTGAGCTCACAGTCTGACTGCAAGGCCGTTTCTGAAACAAATTCACCAGGTCAGTGCACGAGGACTCTAGCTCAGGCAGCCAGGGAGAGGGTGGTGTTGTGAGACAGAGCGATGAGGGAAAGGGCACCTGTGCCGGAAGGCAGTGAGCCAGCCATGAACATGCGGGGGGCTGGGACAGGTCCCACCAGCAAGGCGGACAAGCTCAGGAGGCAGTTCTGGGCCTTGGAGAATAGGTTGGGGAGAAAGATTAGGTGTCCTTCCATTTTCATGCTACTTAGTGGCTGCTGGAGTGGGAGAAACTGCCCTAGTAATATGCAGGGCAGTTACTAGGCCTGCTAATAAAAGGAGGGATAAGAAAGGCAGAAATGGGAAGGACAGGGGAAGAGGGGGTCTGGAGATGACGCAGTCAGAGGTAAGTGGGGGCTTCAAGGCGGGATGGCCACAGGTGCTGGTGTTTACTGAGTGTTAACTATGGGCCGGGTACCCTCAGCGTGAGGCAGGCACTGTGATTACTATGCCCACTTTACAGACGAGGAAACTGAGAGGCTAAGGAATTTACCCACGTCAGTGAGCTACAGCGTGGTAGATCCTGGGTTCCACCCAGTGGCCCAGCCAGTGAGCTTAATCACCGTGCTACCCTACTTCTGGGATGGAAGGTTGCTGATGACACTGTTGACTTCACCCATGGCTTGGGTGGAGGAATAGAAGTGAGGAACAAGTTTGGAACAACAACAACAAGGCTTGACATTGAATGGCATCGTGGAGTCTGCAGGAGACAACCATACCTGTGACCTGGTCTGCCCTGCAATGGACGGGCAAGCGGTAATCTCTGTCCTTTAATGCACTAGGAAGCCGAAGCCCTCGGAAGGTCAGGGAATTGCTCGAGGTCACACCATGAGGCTGTGTCAGAGACTTGAACTCAACTCTTTAGGCCTGGAATGGTGTTTACTCCCCCTAAGAGGAATGGAGAGTCACTGAGAGGAGAGACCGTCCAGATGCAGGTGCCGGCCTGGGGTGATTCAGAGAGAAGGCCATTACATGGGCCACCTTGACTGACAGCATCTGAGCTGTGATGCCCAGTTAGCACCCCAAGTGAGGGTCTTGGTCCTATGGGGAGGCAATGGGGAGCTTATCTGGTCATGGTTTTATCTTGGCCTCACTCATTTGAAAGTCATCTCATGATGGATATTAACGATACTGTGTGGCCCAGTAGCAAGCACAGGGGTGGAATGAAATCCTGGCCCTGCCTCTTAGTAGCAGGTGGCCTGGGCAAGCCATCTAATGTCTCCAGAGAAGATGTGGCTTCTCTGACTGCAAAGTGGGGATCGTCTCTCCCCTGCCTGGTATTGTGGGAGTTAAGGACAATGTGAGTAAAGCACTTGGCATGCACCTGGGGGTCAGTAAACAGGGGCGGCACTGTTCATGTCAGGTGACAGGCGAGGGTTTGTACCTCTTTTATCAAAGTGTAGCTTCATTGAAACTTTGTTTCTAAATCTCTCTCAAACACACATGCACGCACGCACACACACACACACGCACAGAACAGAGGAGATTTTGAAATCTTCCTACCCAAGTACCTTGTGCAGATGGTGAAACTGAGGCCCAGAGACGGAGATTATACGCCCAAGATCACAGAGTCAAAGGGGCCTGGTCCCTGCCTGCCGTCAGTCCGAGTACTGCATGACATCACAAAGCGTCCCGGACCCAGCCTCATTCCTGCTGTTCACTAAGCATGCACTTTACACAATCACTGCCCCACATGGCAGCCACCAGAATCCTTGCTGGCATCAAACATCCAAGTCAGAGGGCACTCAGAGTCGTCAGCTTCCTCCGGCATTGCCTCACCCGGCTGTAGGGGTTAAAAAGCCATGGCAGGTGCTCCTGAGACTGGAGAAATAAAATGAATGATCTCAGACTTACACAGGAGACCACAATGGGTTCTTCTTAGAAAATGCTGAAGGGGGAGTCCACTGCCTCCACACCAACTCTGCCTTAACACAGGAGTCCTCCAGCTTCATTTGTATTCCCTAAGGATCTTAGCCCACAAGAGGGAGAAAGCTACTGTTGTCCTGAGTTTAAGTTGGCTGATCTCTACCTGAGAGCTTTAAGGAAGGTCGTGGGGAGCATGGCACACTGCAGGGGGTGAGGGGCTCATGCAGAAGAGCCCTGTTCCTGATTGTTAAGGGAAGGTGGTATGGTTGTCTCCCTGACGTCCACTCTGACTACATCACACGGGATCGTTCAGTCCTTCCCTACAATGTGGCAGGCCTCGTGCTGGGCTCTGCGCATACGAAAACAAACACCACGGGCAAGATGCCTACTCTTGTGAGACACAGGTCTTCAGTGAGGAGGCTGAGATGAATGAGGACACAAACATACAAACAAGATAATCTCAGCTACCGATCAGAGCTGTGAATAAAGAAACAAAACAGAGCAGCGGTAACACCACTGGGAAGGTTGGCTGCTCCACACTGGCATCCAGAAGATGTCTCTGGGCAGGTGACATTGCAGCTGGGCCTTTAACAAGACGGCACCAGCCCCGTGGAGGTCTGGGGAGGGAGTTCCTCAAAGAAATCAGCAGATGCAAAGGCCCCAAGGCTGAGTCAGCTGAGACTTCTAGGACTTTTATCAAAAGAATTTGGAGGACGGGGGCTATTTTGTTAAGTAAACAAAGTAAACAAGACCCTTTCTTTCCCTAATTTGTCCTCTTTCCCCACCAGCTCCAAATGCTATTAATCCTAGATAATTCCCACTTAATTTAAACACCTCTTCTTCTGAGAAGCCTTCGGGTTCTACTAGTTCATGGTAGAACTAGTATAAAAACTGGTCTGTGGTAAAATAATAATGATAAAAAAGGTCGATAAATGCTGTGTGTGTGTGTGTGTGTGTGCGTGCATCAGACACTATGCAGGTGCCAACTGTGTTTCCTTTCTTCCAAGACTGAGATATACTGTTACTGCTTTTCAAAATAATTTTACTGTTAATACTCTTTTGTGAAATATGATGTAGATGACAGATATGTCACAAATGTAGCAGAAATCAAAAGCTGTCCGTGCTTTGCAAATCCCGAATACTTTGGTCTGTGAAATCCCGGACGCTGGGGGCACCTGTGAACTAGGCTCTGAAGCGCTATTGGGGGCACCTGTGAACTAGGCTCTGAAGCGCTATTACCTTCCCCTCCTTCACTCCTAGATGGCTCTAGGTTTCCCATACCCTTTCCATTCTCTTCCCTGTTTTCAGAGTTTGAATTCCAAGAGCACAGGGAGTGTCCGTTCCTGGCACTGAGCCAGGCCCACAACAAGCACTGAGAAGATACTGACCGAACCAAAGCATTGTGATTTATGGCGAGATACACTCACCTGAGAGAATGCTGAAAATAAAATCAGGAGCAAACTGGTGAAGGGAGACAGCAGTGTAAAGGAAACGAGCCTGGGTTCACTTTGTGTCTCCTGCAAGGGGTGGTGTAGCCGGGTCAGAAGGCACTGCCCACTCTGTAGCAGCCAGACTTGGGTGAAAACACTTTCTCTGAGCCTCAGCTTCCTTACCAGTTAAATGGGGATGGCAAAGCTTTGACCCACGCTTCTTGTAAAGAACAAAAGACATGTTTGCAGAAAAACACTCTGCAGATAGCATGTAAGTGACACTTCTTCACTCTGTCCTTCCAGCCCCTCCTGCATGGAGCAACCAGCCAACTCAGCAGATGACCTCTTTCCAGTTTCAGCGTCTGCTTCTCCCACAAGCCTGTGAGCTGGTGCAGGAAATTCTCCTACAGGTTCTGAACAGAAAAGTATAGTGCCTGGCACCTAATGGGTGCTCCATAAATGCACAAATGACCCCAGGTAAGTCACTCCTCCTACCGGACCTGTTTCCTCTAAGTAATCTCCCTTCTTTTTCCAGATCCATGAAACTTATTTGCTTTTTTAGAACAGGCCTAGGAGTCACATTTAGGGAAGGTGGGTGGGTGTGAAGAGACTTTGATTAAAAGGTTAAGCACATTTTTGGTTTCCACTTTCGAATCTTCCAGAATTTATTTTTGCCTACTTAATTAAAAAAAGAGCCATGTCACATTTCTTTAGATTGTCTTCTGGGTTCCTTAACAACAACAACAAAACATTAAAGTCTTTATTTTAAACCGCCTACTCCAGCCATCCCAGGACGCGGCGAGGAGGGGGCGCGGACAGGTGGCGCGCGTGCCCGGGAAGGCGGGGGTGCACCGCGCCGCGGGCGGGGCCGTGCACGCCGAGCCCCACTTCCCCAGCCCCGCTTCCCCAGCGCGGGCCGGGGGCCGGGCGCGGCGGCGGAGGTCGGGGGCTTCTGCCGAGGGCAGTCCCACGTGCCCCTCCGCGGGAGGCATCTCTTCTCCGATGTCCAGCACACGGGTGGGCTCCCGCTTCCTGCCTGCCCTCTCACCTCACAGCGCCTTGCGCCGCCCCCGCCTGGCTGCACTGCGCGCCCCGGGCCCTAGACCCCCTGCCCCGCCGGCCCCAGCACCGGCCTCTCCCCCGGCGCCGTCAGCCTGTGGCCCTTCTCCCGCGCGCGCCCGCGGCCCAGCCGGAGGGAGGGGCAGGGGCGGGGCCCGGCCGGCGCTGATGTAATCCCGGCACCCGGGCGGAAGGATATGGAGCGCGCCCCTGGTTGGCGGGGCGCTGAGGCCAGTTGCCGGGTAACGGAGCGGAGCGGCTCCCGGCGCGCCGCCTCCCGCCCTCCGCCGAGTGGCGCTGGGGCCGCCGCCGCCGCTTTACGTAAGGCGCAGGCCAGGGCCGCCCGGCGCTCCGCAGCCGCCCGCAGCCCCCCGGAGCAGAGGAGAGGCGCCCCCGCCGGCCGCCGCGCCGCCCGGCAGCCTCGGCAGGTACCGCGGGCAGGCGGCGGGGAGGGAGGGCGCGGAGTGGCCCCTCTGCCGGGTGGGCGCGGGCCTGGGCAGGCCGGCCGCTGGCCGCCGTGGGGCTCCGGGGCCAGCCTCAGGGAGGCCGGGCCGCCGCTGGGGGCTCCGGGGCCAGACCGAGGGAGGCCGGGCCGCCGCCGGGGGCTCTGGGGCCAGACAGAGGGTGGCCGGGCCGACGCCGATGGCTTCGGGGCCAGACCGAGGGAGGCCGGGCCGCCACCAGGGGCTCCGGGGCCAGACCGAGGGAGACCGGACCGTCGCCGGGGACTCCGGGGCCAGACGAGGAAGCCCGGGCCGCCTCAGACCCTGGTGGTGCCCGGGCGTGCTGGTGAGCTGTGGGCCCTGGGACCCCCGCCCAGACCCCAGGTCGCCGGCACCCCGGCTTGCCGCTCGTGCGCCCGGGTGGGCAGCGGACGATGAGTCCGCACAATGGGTTGCCGTCAGCAGCCTCCTGCTTGGGGCAGGTGTCGCCGCGCCGGGGAGGCTCTTTTGGGGGAGGTGAGGCGGGGGTGCTTAGACGTGAGGCTGGGGCGCGGAGCCCCGAAAGCGGGTGCGGGAGGAAGGCTTCGACCGGCGGGAGGCGCCCGACGTCCCCGGCAGCGGGGTCAGGCCGGCAGGCTGGGCCGCTCTCTCGCGTCCCCTCCGTTCTCCTCCCCTCCAGCATTGTCCTTTTGGGGCCCGGGGAAGGGAAAACCGCGGGGCGGGGGAGGAGGGCCGCAGGCGGGCGGGGCCGGGAGGCCGGCTGAGTGACGGGCGCGCCGGCCTATGGCGCGGCGCGCGGCGCGAGGGGCGGGCCTGGAGGGCGGGGCCGGTGTGGCGCAAGGTTTGGCGAAGGTTACAGCTGGAGCTAGGAGTGACAGGCCCACAGTCACCCTCGCGCCGCCGGGCAGACCCCGGCGCAAAGGGCGCCCCGAGATGCTGCGGAGCCTCTTCCTGCTCCTTTCCAAGAATACGCGTCTCCAGCAGGCATTTCTAAAGCTCCCTGCTTCTTCCCGCTGGAGAAACCAGTGTGTGTCTTGTTAGAAATGCTTCGTGTTGCCCTAGAATTTAGTTTGCGTCTTGTGCGCAGATTGCAGGACCTGCCGAGCTCTTGGTACAGACCCCTAAATCATGCAGAACTGTTTTGATTTCTTTTTTGCCACCTTTCTGTTTTTGTCCTCTATAGACAAGTTATAAAGACTTAATCCAGTTAAAAACATAGGAAGATTCACTGGAGAGGAGGCATGCGATTCTTGGAAAAATTTATATAAATGTAGTTCTTGCTGATAACTACCTGAGTTGGATACTTTGACTTATTGCCCAAGTTCCTAAGAAGGGGTTTTACATTTCTGGGTCTTGTTTTTAAAAAACAATTTTAGAAAGCTTGTGAGGGGGTAGGGACGAGCAGTTTTGATAATATACGATGCTGTGGGTAAGACTGAACGGGAATCCCCAAGATAGATCCTTCCTGTGCAAAATAAGACCCATTCCAGAACACTTTGACCATATCGTGGACTTCGAATTTAAAGGGGGAGGGGGCGGGGGAGTGGAATCTATCATTCTGCATTTTCAAGGTCATGTATTCTTCCATCAGTTATTTTGGATTGAACCATTCTGAAATAGGTCTCAGAGTCTCTCTGTCTTTTCCTTATGACAGAACCTATTTCTGAGATTGTGCCTTTGCATACCTGTAGAAGCTACTTTCAATTAATACATCTTATAACTCAGATCCAATTGTACTTGCTAAATAATGAATTTTTAATAATTCAAAAAGTAGTTTACTGCTTCCATTTTGGGTATAATGGTTTTTATGTAAGCCCGTTACATGAGTGAAATGCCAGTTTTAAACATTGAAGGGAGGGGAGAATATTCTTACTTAGTTCCATAGGAAGTAGAATTCAAAGTGCAGGTGCTTTTTTGTTTGCTGTGGAGAAAAAGTATAGGTCTTTGAAAGTATATACTTTGAAAAAGTATATGTTAACATGACGTTAACATAAGTCAAATTCAACTATTTTAAGGATAATTAGCTTGTTACACAAGTTGCAAACATTTAAGAAAATAGATGAATTTTTAACACCGCCAGTGGTAATACAGGGTAATGTAGCTAGCTCACTCTGTGCTTTGTTGTATGGTAGCAGTCTTCAAAAGAAATTAATTGTTCTTTATTTTTCATTGTGTAGATAATGACTGAGCCTGGGCTTTGTCCTTGTTTTCATAGCATTTGACTTGACAGTTAATGGCTTGTTAGCTGGTTTCCTCATCTGTAAAATGGGAAGAATGATGACACCTGCTTCACAGTGTTTGGGATGATCACGAGAGGGAAGACGTGCAATAATTTCATCAACACTGAAACCCTTTTAAAATACTGGACTAGTGTAATTGTTAAAACCTCAGATTGCTTGCTTGGCTTAAAGGTTTTAGCTTTGTCTTCAGGCTCTTCCCCACCCCTTTTTCTCCATACTTTGCCTGGCTGCCAGAGTTCTCTTTCCTGAACACAGACCTTACCAGCCTCTGGCTCAGCAAGCTTCTAAGGCTGCCTGTGGTTTGGAGCTTAGAATTCAGAGATACCAGCATCACAATTCAGGCCCCTTGCAGTCTGGTCCCCAGTCATCCCTGTACTTTATCTTGTCGTCTTTGTCCCCTTTCCACACTGTCCAGCTAAACAAGACTGCTCTTGATTCTGTGAACATCCCAAGCTATTTCAGACCTTTTTTGCTTATATTCTTTTCTCTGATTGGTATGTCCTGTCTGAGTCCCATTCCCTCCAGTTCTTAAAAGTTCATGTCAAATATTCTGTTCCCTTTGGAGTACTTTGGAAGTCTTTTTAAAATGAATATTCCTTTCTGCAATCATAGTTCTCTATTTTTCCCTCATCATTATATCATATTGTATTATAAATTGTTCATAGTAAACTCTGTGGTGTCTATGTCATCATTTTGTCCCAACACCTTGCTCAGGCGTTTAAACATAAAGTGCTTAAATGTTGGTTAAATAAAGTCAAAGTCTGTAATCCACCTTCTAGAATATGTTAATGTTATAAAGTATATTTGTTTATTTTTTTCTGACCCTGGCTTTAAGTCTCCAAATGATTTTTTTTTTTCTTTTTTAAAGGCAGGGTCTTGCTCTGTCACCCAGGCTAGAGTGCAGTGGTGCTATCACAGCTACCTCCCAGGCTCAAGTGATCCTCCCACCTCAGCCTCCTGAGTAGCTGGAACCACAGGCATGCACCACCACGCCCAGCTACTTAAAAGAATTTGTTTTCTTTGTTTTGTTTTGTTTTGTAGAAACAGGGGTCTCCCTATGTTGCCCAGGCTAATCTTGAACTCCTGGGCTCAAGCAATCCTCCCACCTCAGCCTCCCAAAGTGCTGGGTTTATAAGTGTGAGCCACCACACAAGACCCAGATGAAGTATTTTTAATAAACATCAGTGCCAACCACAACATTAGAAATGCAGTTTTACTATGTTGAATATAGTTACTATTAAGAATATTTCTTTACAGTTATTTTTGGCCTTTCACATAATCACATAGTAAGTGGTATTTTATACAAAGTAAAAATTGTCACCTTCCAATCTGTATCTAAACTTTTAGGGTCTAATGAAATAGATGCAGCACCTGCATTGCTGACTAAATCATTGACCTGTTTTTTGCGTAGAGGGAACCAGAGCACAAGTATAAAAATATTTCTTATATTTGAAGTATAATTTAATTCCCAAGAGTTTACATGCTTTTTCTTTAAGCGTTTTCTTTTTTGGAGATTTATTATATGCATCAAAAGCAATTGTTTTTGAGGGGGCTTCTTAAAAGAATGATAGAACTGGATTTGAAAGATTCAGGTTTGCTTCTTGTCCATGGACAAGTTTGTTAAATCCCTCTTGGAAGTCAGTCCGTATTTGTGAACTGAGAACAATTACCTGGACTCTTTTTGCTTTGTAGTACATATAAAGTGGCTATACTTTGTATACTGCACATCCCTGCCCACATATAAGGTAATAAGATATTTTGCTTTATAGCATTTTTGTCCTGCTCACTACCCAGCCTGGAAACCCTTAGAGACTTCCTTTGTTGACCAGATTTTTACCTCTATGAGTCTTTTCCATCAGTCTTTTCCTCTTTTCTTTCATGTTTCCTCTGCCCCTCCCCTCTTGGAAGCTGTTACTCCTTACGAAGATAGTTGCTGTAGTCCTCCAACTGGCCTCTCTTTTCTGGTCTCTCATCCTTCTCTGTCCTGTTGTCAGGATTATCTAATATGCAAATCAAATCCTATCATACCCCCTCTCTCAAGTATACATCAGGGGTTCTCAACTGTCATATCCCTGTTCCATCACACCTGAGGGATATGACAGTTTTGTTGGTAAGATCATGGGCTTTCTCCTCTGAAGATTTTTACCTTAGAAGTGCTACCACCCTCCTCTCCTGGTTGAGAGTTAGTGTTACAGAGTTAGGAAATCACTCTAAGATCTTTGCTATCTGGCCTACTTCTTACTTTTAGCTTGATCTTTTACTGGATCTCTTCTTTTTTGTTTTTGTTTCTGTTTTTTTGAGGCAGGGTCTTGCTCTGTCATTCAGGCGGGAGTGCAGTGGTATCATCTTAGCTCACTGGAACTTCCACCTCCCTTCCGCCTCCTGCCTTGGCCTCCTAAGTAGCTAGGACTACAGGCATGTACCACCATGCCTGGCTAATGTTTGTATTTTTTGTAGAGATGGAGTTTTGCTATGTTGTCTAGACTGGCCTCAAACTCCTGGGCTTAAGCAATCTGTCCAACTTGGCCTCCCAAAGTGCGGAGATTACAGGCATGAGCCACCTCGCCCAGCCTGCGTCTCTTCTTGTCACCTTATATTTCAACACAAGACCTCTGGCCACTTCCATTATTGGCAGACTACTATGAAATATCCTTTCTGCCTTTTTCTCCCTTTCAGAATCTTGGAGACTTGTCTTAAATGCTGCTACTTCTACTTCTGTAACCTGCTTTTCAGAATTAACTGCAT